AAACATGAGGGAAACAGAGATCAACAACAGGACTCAGTTTTTCCTTAGTATTTGTCGCTATAAAGATACAGTCTACCAAAATGAGAAACTGTGCAAGTGGCTAGCTGCAGATTTAACAGGGGCAGCTGGAGAAATGAGGTTGAAGCTATCAGCTAGCCCTGTCTGATGCAGGGTGCAGGCCTCCACGTCATGAGTCATGTATGCCTAACTCCACCCTCCACTATGACCTTAGCCAACTCTCATTTTCTGTCAGAAAACATGATTAGTCTTGCGCTCTCCAGTATATTCCTAGGAAATAGAAGGGTTTACAATAAAGCATTTACCTAACTTTATGAAGGTCAAGACAACTTAAAACTTTGTCTTGTAAAGATTTTTTGTACAAAAACAATGCAGTCATAAGCAGCATTTAAATTAATCTGTATTAAAAACTTTTAAAAAAATGAAGATAATCTTTTGCATAGACTAAAGAAGAGTGCAGCTAGAGTGTAACATTCGATACCACAAGAAACAGCTAATTTACAAGTGGTATACAAATAACTACTGTCTCTAATCACCAAGACTGCAGAAACTAAAGAAATAGTTATCAGGAACATTACATTAAAATGATGATAGTTGGTTATTTCATTATGTTAGTAAATTGAGTGCAAAATATTTAACTTTTTTTTTTTTTAAGAAAGTAAAGCTGATAATTTTCACATTACATTTTCTCTTGACAGTACTTGGAAAGATGAAACATCCTTTGTTCACTTAGAGCTCAATCAAAAATAAATCCTTACATATTTGGCATCTGTTTTGTCCAAAAATATTAGAAGGGTTGTAAATATGCAAGCCTTATCTGTCCTATGAAAGTTGGATGTTTATAGGGCTGTAATTCTTCATTGTAGTCTAGCTTTTTTGCACTGCAGTCCCTCCGGAAACGAAGCACAGAATAATACCAAATTAGCTTGTAAGACCTTGATTCCCACTTCTCAGGAGAAAAGAAACAGGGTCCAAGAAGTGGAGAATCAGGAGTAAAAACTAAAGGAAAATAAGTGCCTGTCCAACAACTATTTTCCAGTTTAAGATGGGAAGCAAGCAACTTGTAAAGATCTTCCTACTCCTCATACTTGCATGCCTAAATATAAGACGAAAAAGCGGATACCTAGTCAGTTGTCTAGACGGCTTTGATTTTGTTTTAAAAAGAAAAATAAACTTTTATCAGGTATAACTGGATACTATAATTTGATAAATGAAATATTTAAAATAAATAATATTGTATTTTTCAAGATTATTTATGCTTCTGTAATGAAGTAGCGTCTGCATTGTTAGATTTCATTCTGTTTAGCTTTTTTTGAACTTTGTTGCCACTTACGAAGGGCAGTTCCAGAACTACTAGCTATTACACAAAGGGCACCACCCACAGTCCACCAAGTTGGTAGACGATTAAGAAAAAGAATCTGTAAAATAAAAGCAAACACCACATCCATTGTTTTCATTATGGCAACAGGTCCAGCTTTCTCTATCTGTAATGCTTTTGTGAGAAATATCTGACCCCCTAACCCTAGAAGGCCTATTAATATTAGAAGGACTCTATCTTTACCACAATATGGTAAACTCCATTCATTCATAAGAAACAATGCTATAACACATCCAGTTAAACCAATTACTGCATAATACCAAATAGACAAAAAATAATGCACAGATTTTCCCACCTTTCTCAGTATAACAAAAGTTGAAGCTGTAGATACCGCACTTGTAATTGCTGCTATAGTTCCTTTAAGATGATCTGTGTAACTTCCTTCAATCCCCATAGCGTTCGACCCAAAAATAAATGGTGGTCTGGCAATCAGGACCACTCCAGTGATTGTGAAGAGGGTAAACAGAAGATCCCAAATACTGTATTTCTCTTTGAGAAAGATCCAAGCCAGCAATGACGTAAAAACAGGACTGGTAAAAGTTAGAGCAGTGGCATCAGCTAGAGGCATTACTTGGAAAGCATAGTAGAGAAGAATCATTGCACTAGAACCAAAGAATCCTCGGAAGAAGAGAAAGATTCTTTTACCTTTTGGTCCCAAAAACCCTGTTCTGAAAATTAAGGGGGGGGGGGGGGGGGGGAAAAAAATCATATTAATGCTATTGTCTTGGTTATTTCATTCAATTACATTTAACGGTACAGACCTTTCAAAATGAGGGGCTTTTCATTTCAAATGTCAAAATATTTCAAACTGTCTGATCATACAGACCTATTGATTCCCATAACCCCCAATCACATTCAGGGTCATTCTTCTAGGTATTGAATGTGTGCTTGAACCCAAATTATCTTTTATTTTTAAGAATGGCACTTCACAGAAGATCAAAACATCCCATATAATCCCTGTTGGAACTTCTACAATTCAGGGAGTTAAAGATTTTTCAGTTTGCTGAATTGTATTGAGAAACTATCAACTAATCTAGTCAGAAGTTTTAGAAGCTGCTCCAAAACAACGCAATTTATGCGGTTAAAGTCTGAATGAATATTGCAATCTGATTGGAATTCCATTTTGAGTGATAATTCTGGGTATCTTTTTATGAAATAACTCTTAATTCAAACATTTGCTACACTTACTTGTAGTATATTAAACCAGGAAGAACAAATGCCATTTGGAAAACGCATCGAAACGCGCTCACTTCCACTGAGTGCACATCTTCTATTTTTTTTAGAAATAAAGAGGTCAACGAGAAAAGGAAGGCAGACAGTAAGGTATAAAACAGACCAAGTCCCGGACAGGAAGCTTTCTTCTTTGTTCCTGCAACAGATTAAAAAAACTCCAGTTAATAATGACCTAGCTACCTACCAGTAGATTTCTCAGATGGCTTCATATACTGCAGTGCTGCATGAATTTAGAGCTATTTTTAGGGTAGAGGAAGAGGAAAGCAAAAAACTAAATGCAAATACTATATTTATTTGCCAGACATACCTTGAGAATACCTTTCATTGACTGCCACAGGTCTCCTTTTTTTCCTTAAACAGGAGATAAAAGTAAACATCCAACACTTTCAGTGCAAAACCATCCCTACACTTCTCACAATTCTACAACAGTTAGTAGGCTTTACTTCTTGGAGGCATCAGACTCTAGTTTGGGACATTCATTAATAGGATGTGCTGTATCATTCTGACCATCACCCAGGGATCAGTAAATACAACTGACTGCAAAAGTGGTCCATGAAATGATTATGAAACACTGAAACTTATTGCCTGGAAATCATCTGATTATTTAGTAAGACAATTAAAGTTCCTAAGCAACAATTCAGTTTCTTCTCTCACAAACACACACGCATACACAAATGCGTAAGAACAGCGGAAGCATCTCACATTAACTGTAAGATAAGCATCAGGTATAACAACACACCTTAAATTTGACCTAGGGCTACACACGTTTTATGTAACATTTTTATCTTGCTGCAAGAATCTAAATATTTTCTTCTAATGAGTATCAGATATACATTTTTAGCAAGATTTTTAAGTGCTTAGTTTTAAAACATCATTTGCCTACTGTAAAGTGCTGATATCCCTAAAAGTTCCATGAAGACATAAGTTTCACCTTTAGTTTACACTCATCTATCAGATTCTCTCTTCCTGAAGAGATTTCCTAAGCCTCATGGCTTCCAATCAAGCTTCCACATGGCCTCAGGCACCCTTCAGTGATACACTCTTCCTTGTTCCACCCATCTTCTCCACCCTCAACTATGGAAAAAAAGGAAAGCAGAGAGGGTGAACTGCTGCTGACCTCAACACCGTCTCCAAAGAAAGCAGTCTTTTTAAAACAACTTTACTGCTTAAGAGGAACAGTCTTTTTACTGAAACTAGAGGTGAATGTCATAGAAATAGAACCTATTAGAGGAGTAGAGAGGGCTATTATCCCACAATCTTTTTTCTTTTTGTATACATGAAATGCTGGGGGTTACCCTTTCTTCTACTACACCCTCTAAAGATAGGAGCGAGAACTCCATCTTCCTGAAGCAGTCTGTTTTGATAAAAGATGCCTCATCTTACAGTGTGGGAGCCAGTGAGCCTCACAGATCCTCTACAGCATAATCAGCAGGGCACTGCTGAGAGTTGCTTAGCAACTCAGTAAGGTTTTGAGGTAGGGTTTGTTTTTTTTTTTAAACTAACAAACCTTGTCGCAACCCATTTGATCCTCCCTAAGATCAGCATTCAAGGCTGAGAAACTGTTTCTTGCTATCTAAGAGCTGAGACTGTGGGCTGGTACCTTGTGTGTCACACTGGTGCTAGCTTTATCTGTTCTGAATAGCAGGCTTTGCAACTGCAACCAGAATTTAAAGTTGCCAGAAGGCAAAATAGTTTAAGAACTTCAAGGACACTACTGCTGAAAACGAGTGGCAATTTCTACTAGATAGAAATATTTCTATTTAGCAACAGCCACGTATACACAAGTGACTATTAAAATTGTCGTTAGCTGGTCCAGGACATCTACCAATTATGAAACAGAGCAGACTTCAGAATGTTCATGAATTACATAATGTCCTAATCCCCACAGTCACGCAACAGAGGTACAGAGTAAACAACGTCTCAAATAGGAAAGGAAAAGGAATCTGAGTGGCCTATAAGTGAAATGGGAAATCCAAACACAGGCTGGCTTATGGAAGAACACAACGCAAACAGAACTATTAACTTTCATTTCAGGCATGACAGCTTGCCTGATTACTACAGAAGGAAGCCAATCTAAATAACAGAAGTATTGAAATGGAAAAAATAGATCAAATTCAAGCAAATGAAGCTGAAAAGGATGTTATGTCCAGAATTAAGCTTTGGAATTGAAGGAACAAAGAAAAACAAGAAGAACTCATACTTTTGTAAACTACCTACTATACCAAGCATATCAGAAAAGGTATTTTATAACCCTAGAATTTAAGCCATCAACATCTCACGTTGCCAAAGCATATACTCAATGGAAGTAGGAAGTGTGGTATTTCCTTTTAAAAATAAAATGGCACAAGTTCTTCCACCAAAAACAAGAATTGCAGTTCTCAAGAATACTTATTTCAAAGTATATTCTAAGAAGAAGTTAGGTTAAGATAACATTCCCACCCAACTAAACATTAAGCCTCCAAACACTAACCCATCACCATCAAGATACTTAAGAACTTATGTTTCTTGGGAAAAAAAACAAACAAAAAACAATCCAAGCAGTCTAAAAATAAAAAAAAGGGCAAAGTAGTACCCAAGTGCTCTTTCTCGAGTGGCTAACAGATTTGAGCAAGAGAAGTATTTAAACAGCTCTTTGATTTTCCAAACTTATTCTCTGGCCAACTCCATACATAAGGTTTTCAAACAATCTTCCAGCTCCTAAGTCTTAGTCAAATACATCCTGCTGCACTCCATTTTCTAAGTGTAAATCCTCCTTGTCTGCATCTTAACGTCATGTTCTCTTACAGTTTTTATACTTGAAAAATAAAAACATTTTTTTTTTGGGGGGGGGGGGGGAAGGGAATTTCTCACATATATGAAGCTTGAGAATAGCAGCAGAGGCAGAAGAGTACTGCCTGTGGGGAAAGAGATCAGTGAGGTGATTTTCCTAGACCTTCAAGAAAGCCAGGAAAGGGTCATCTGTTCTTAACACCTTAAGAAGCACACCCAAGAGCGTGCACACCAGCCTGCACATGAACTAGCCATGGTCATGTGGACAAGATATGGGCATGATTCATACAGCACAGCCATTGACTCAATTAACATTTAGTCAGGCAGACTACCAAAAAAAAAAATCAAAACAAAAAAACCCAAAGTTATTGGGGTGAATAACTGCAAATTCCATAAGGTTTCAAATATTGTTTTTTTCCAGGCGTTGACTCAGAAGTGATATTAGTGCTCTTCACCACTGAAATCCACACTCTCTCTTTTGGGCTCGCTACAGCTCACTTATTTAGCAAAGACTGCTATTTTATCCATTCTCTGCTGAAAAATCAATTATATTCCATATTTACATGGGAAACATATTTTCAACAATTTTATTTAAAATTTAAAAATGAAGCATTTTACACAGAGCACGACAACTTCAAAAGTCAAGTATTTTAAGACTATTAAAGCCACATTAAACTTATGAAAACATACTGTAGCACGTTTCTCAGAAAGTTCATGGCTTTAACCAATTCAAAATAATCCAACGCCAAAGTGAAACGCACAGGTTAAGACAAAATAAAGAGTACACTCACACAAAAGTAAGAAATAACTTTTCAGGGAAGTCACAGCTGGGAGGACACGGAGTGCCTCCCCCTTACTGTCAGCATGCTGCTGATATCCCTCTCAGAAAGCATTTAGGGCCAGAAGTCCAACCTGCTATAGCCAGGGCACTTCGGTTTACCGAAAACTGGAAAGTCTTACTTAGTAAACTTTAACAGTAACACCAAGAAGTCCTGCTTGCCTGAGGAAGCTGAAGCTCCCTACAGCCCTACAGTGTAACAGGCGCGGAAGCGGGGCCGCCAGGGCACGAT